AGTGAATGTCATTAGTGTAGTGTTATAGTTTATAGGTTGTCTATAAGGACAGAAATGATCCTTATGGTGAATATAAGGTTTATGTGCCTATATTTTATTTGTCTTTTAGTTATAAGCTATTAAATTTTTATGTGAAGACTTTCTTAGGAGAACGCTTCAGAAATAAGCCCGCCTCATTTCCCCACACTAAGAAAGAAAAGCGAATGCCACTTTAAGAAATCTGAATTGATGTAGCTGGATTTCTGCATTATGAAACAGATTCCTTCCAGTCACAGTTTGACAATGGGTGTTTTGATTGCTATTTTTTACGGTTTTGTAAATTTGTTCTATTTTAACAAAGAATCATTTTTTTAACTGTTCACTTAAAAACAACTTGCCTAAAAATTGAAAAGGATATGTGACAATGTAATTAGATGTTTAAACTCACTCATCAGGTCAGAGGTAGGGAAATGTTGGTATGGTGTTTTCTTTCTCTTAATTTTTTGTGCAGTGCTTCAATATACTCATACTCTTTTTCTGTGTGCTAAAATATACATACACATAAAATTTACCATTTTAACCATTTTTAAGTGTACATTTCTGAGGCGTTCCCTACATTCATGTTTTTGTGCTACTTCAGTGTACTTGTTTCCTGAAATTGTGATATCGAAATAATTCAATAGTTTCATGCTTGAGACCCAAAGCTATGCTCGCATTGAATAGTAAGCAGCAGAATTTCTCTGGGGCTTATCAGTGTGTTGTGAAGAAAAATTATTTTGCTCTTTGAGTTTTTGTTAAGGAACTTACAGCATATTCAACCATATTGGGCTTAGAAAGACCAAAACCAATGGGAACTTATGAAAATGAGTTTATGAATTTGGCTTATTTGAACATTTTTTTCTAATTTTAGATTAATGAAACATGGTTAGGGAGCTGTAAAGCTTTTACTGATGTATAGGGATCTCATTTAATCATAATTGGTATCCTATTCCTAATAGTGGATAAGCAACAATGTTGTAGAAAATGACAAATTTTAAAAATTAAAAAAAACCACATTTGTTTATTTTCCCCTAGTATTTTGAAATTATTTCTAAGATTATAAATTGACCCTTACTTACATCATGAGATTAATTAGAAGTTATCTTTAAGATATGAGTATAATACAGTACTCACAAACAAACCAATGTTTTGTATTGTTTTAATAAAAGAGTAAAGCATTTGTCCACTGCTTTACTTATTTATGAGACTCTTCTTGATTCTGATGATTAAATCCTTTATGTGAAATATTGAATAATTTAAGAAGACAGTAGATACAAAATACAAAGTATTACCTGGAGATGTTCAGAAACCATATAAACATAACTTAGTTTATTTATTTTATTATTTAACTTGTTTAAATGTGATCCCTTCTTCTGAAATGGTAATTTGGAAACTTCAACATAGAAAGTTAAGAAATAGAAGGATTGAACTCAGTGCCTAATTCTTAAACCCTACTAGAATACGAGGCTAAGCTTTAATAAATTTAACCTTATTTATTTATTTATTTATTTATTTATTTGTAAACGGCTCTTAGAGAAAATTGGGGAACCGGTACTTTAGACTCTTCACTTCATTCTAGAGTAAGAAAGTTTAACTTCGAGATAAACAGGAAATTCTTGTACTTTATAAAAATCTCCTGGATAAAGACCTTATGGCCGTTGGAGTCAATTCAAACACTGAATGAGCTAAAAGCTGACAATAGCACGCCTAAATTGATAACGAAGTTGGTTTCTCTTGGAAAGTGAGAGAGGTACTTGTCTTCTCAATATATAGATAACTGCAATGAATTTGGTCTCATTTCTTCTTTAAATATTGTTTTATATTTATCAACAAAGAAGATCTACAAACTACACATCAACTTTTTAAATTGGGAATTGTTGACCTGAACAGTCCTTCTTCCCTACCACCAATCTGCCAGGATCTTCTTGAAGGAAATAAAAATTTCGGGGTGTAGGCCTTGGCAAAGGGGCCATGGTGGTGAAGAAGCTCAGAAGGAGATTTGGAGTCATCCATCTTCCCTGTCTACTCTAACAGTTTACATCTCCCCTCCTCCCAACTTTTCAGAGCTAATGTGTAGTATACCCGTTGAAAAAACAAACCTAGAGAAATTTCAGAGTCCTGAAACTTTTCCAGCATATTTTGAATACAAGTAATCTTGGCTCTAGTCAACAGCACACAGGCTAACTATTTGTTTGAATGTGCTAGGATCAGTTTTTTGCTCTTTGGGGGGCTTGATAATGACTTGGGATTTTGTCCTTTGTGAGATGACAACCTAAGATCATATCTGTTCCATTGGTTCTAAGTTTTAAAGCATTTTGGGATAAGTTTTATGAACGTGAAGGAATTGCAGGTCAGAGCAAGAAGTAAGCATTATTGGGCAGGTGGATTCCTTAGTAAGCTAGATATAAAAACATTTATCTCTTGAATGCTTAACTTACCAGGAAAGGAAGTCTTGATTTAAGGAGATATTACCACAAAGAAGAGAAGCTTGTAAGAGAACTCACTTCTGACAACAGTACTTTTGTTCTCATAAACAATCAGTGCCTCAAGTCTAGAGTGGAGCATTAGGCTGTAAAGGTTGGTGTAGTAACGCATAATAACGCATAGGGTCCAGACACTATATACATGTACTTAGGGGAACACTGATTTCCTGTTTAAAGTTTGCTAGGAACTATTAGAGGTTTTATAACTCTGTTGACAATAATCTTATTTGGAACATGATCTGCTTATATAAAAATAATTTTTAATGTGAAAGCTCTCATTAGCTTAAATGACTAGTCAAATGGTAGCTTTAAAAGATGAGTCACAGTCTAATTTACCATCACAATTCACAGTTTCCCTCTTTATTTTACTTGCTAGATTAATCCCATCTCAGCAATGCCATTAGGCGCCTGCCTTGATGGTGTGGAAAAAAGACACACAAACGTCTGATGTTTCTGAGCATGTGGGTTGTGACGAATTTAAATGTGTTCTAATAGTGCATCTGTGTATAAACAGTCAAAGATTTATAGTTATTTTTAAGTTAAGGATGAGGAAATTGACCACTATCGTGTAATTAAAAATAACAACTCTCTGGAAAAGCCAGAGCTAAGTTCTTAAATGCCAGGGCACCAGGATGCAATATTCTGTAATCTAAGTTGGGTAATTTATTTCTTTGTCACTTGAAAATGGATGTATATTTGAGTTAATGAATCATACCACCAACATTCCATAACTAAAGCAAAATGTGTTTCCTTTTCATAGGCAAGGTTTTAGTCAATTGAATAATAAATCATCCTGTATCACAGGATGGGGAGACTCTCACAGGCAAGACCACAATGAAATGAGGCCTCAAAGAAGAGCGTCTACTCTGTTTTAGAAAGATGCAGTGAAGGCGACAGCCCAGACTACTCTGGCTATACTTTTCAGGGTTGAAAACAGTAATATCATGTGACTGTAATGAACAGACATATGAGAAAATGTCCCTGTTCCTTCAAAAAGAATAACTTTACAAGCACTTATAGTTTACAAGGAATATGTATATGTGTATTTTCTCTTTTAAGTCTCACAGTAACACCCAATTGTATAGAAGGATGATTAATGCCTATTTAAAAGAAGAAATTAAGATTCAGAGAGGCTAAGTGACTTACCCAAGGTCATGTATGTAGGGAGTGGAATAATCACAACTTGACAGTAGTTATTTTTACCCTAAGGACAATGCCTGCTGCACTCTATCCTTCGCTGCCTCTTTGATATGCTTATAAAATCAGACACGATAAACATGCATTCAGGTGCTTTGGGGAAATTTGTTCCTGGGAGAATTAACTGAAACGATGATGTCCTTGGGAGCATTAGTAACTTGAGTCTATGGTCTGAGCAGAAGAAAGTCTAAAGAAGTCTCTAGTTTTAAGTGGCATCAGTCTGATGTTCAGTGTAAATGAATGGTGAGTGAAAGACACAGTGGACAGTCAGGACTAAGGTGAAACCCATCATATTAATATTATGAGTGTTCAGAGGACCAGACCTATAATTTAGGAAAGACGATAGGTGAGAAGGCCTAGGTACATCCAAGAAGGAAATAGCCACAAGAAGTAACTGGTGTGAGATACACTTGTGTGAACAAATGGAGTTTTATGCCTGGTTGGCACTGTTGGGGGGTGAATGGGCCGAGGAGACCAGGATTCTGAGACAAAGATCTAAGGATACTTACAGACATGGGTAAAAGGCAAGTGTTCCCTGTGAAATCCTGAGGCAAAAGGCTTTGAAATTTAGTTTACATTAGAAGAGCCTTAAAAGATAGTGGAACTATTCATACTTCTGTTTGATTTTAACCTACATCTACTAATAGCATTATACTGAGATGCAGGTGTGAATTATCATAATGTTCACTTAAATTGTTTAGCTCATTCTGAAAATTTGCTAAGTGAAAGTCATTTGTCTATTGTTAGCTCTCAATCTGACTTTTCAAGACACTTATATTCTTCAAAATAGTTTGACAAAAACAATTTTAGTTACGCTATATTGTAAACCCTTTGTGATATAAAGTATGTTAAGATTGAAGCATTTTATTTGAACTAGTTTTAAGTATCAAACTTAAACTGTTGCAAAGTACAAAAAAGGGAAACTTTTAAAAGAAATCTAGCTTTACTTCTTTCACATATCTATATGGACTTAGCTAGGCTGTCAAAGTACCAACTGGTAGAGTTTCTTACTAAATCTGCTTTAATGAACAAATAAGAGTGATTTGTAGTTGACTTAATAGTACTTGATTTTACTTCAAAGAACACACAGGCATTTGAAAACTAAGTTTTTTTTTCCTGAAACTAATAATATCAATTTTCTTGGCAATTTCTCTTCTGAAACAGTGAAAAGGTAAATTTTAGGCTAGCCTCTTTCCAAATAATTATAATATCTGAATGGAGTCTAAGGAGTTCATAGAGTATTACTGAATTTGTCTATTTTCTAAAGGAGATTGATTCATGATTTTAAAATTATTTTTACAGGATCCTTCAAACCAAAAATGTGGTGGAAGAAAGAAAACTGTGTCTTTCAGCAGCATGCCATCGGAGAAGAAAATTAGCAGTGCGAGCGACTGCATCAGCTTCATGCAAGCTGGCTGTGAACTGAAGAAAGTTCGGCCAAACTCTCGCATTTACAACCGCTTTTTCACTCTGGACACAGACCTCCAAGCTCTTCGCTGGGAACCTTCCAAGAAAGACCCCGAGAAAGCTAAACTGGATATTGCTGCCATCAAAGAGATCAGGCTGGGGAAGAACACAGAAACTTTTCGAAACAATGGCCTTGCTGACCAGATCTGTGAGGACAGCGCCTTCTCCATACTCCACGGGGAAAATTACGAGTCTCTGGACCTCGTTGCCAATTCAGCAGATGTAGCCAACATTTGGGTGTCAGGGTTACGGTACCTGGTTTCTCGAAGTAAGCAACCGCTCGATTTTATGGAGGATAACCAGAATACGCCAAGATTCATGTGGTTGAAAACAGTGTTCGAAGCAGCAGATATCGATGGGAATGGAATCATGTTGGAAGACACTTCTGTAGAGTTAATAAAGCAACTCAACCCTACCCTGAAGGAGTCCAAGATCAGGTTAAAGTTTAAAGAAATCCAGAAGAGCAAAGAAAAGCTAACCACTCGAGTGACAGAAGAGGAATTTTGTGAAGCTTTTTGTGAACTCTGCACCAGGCCAGAAGTGTATTTCTTACTTGTACAGATATCGAAAAACAAAGAATATTTGGATGCCAATGATCTGATGCTCTTTTTAGAAGCTGAGCAAGGAGTTGCCCATATCACTGAGGATATGTGCTTAGACATCATTCGGAGATATGAACTCTCTGAAGAGGGACGTCAAAAAGGATTTCTTTCAATTGATGGTTTTACCCAGTATTTGTTGTCACCAGAATGTGACATTTTTGACCCTGAGCAAAAAAATGTTGCCCAGGATATGACCCAGCCATTATCTCACTACTACATCAATGCCTCTCACAACACCTATCTCATAGAAGACCAGTTCAGGGGGCCAGCTGATATTAATGGGTATGTTAGAGCTTTGAAAATGGGCTGTCGAAGCATTGAACTTGATGTAAGTGATGGTTCAGACAATGAGCCAATCCTCTGTAATCGAAATAACATGACAACACACCTTTCCTTTCGAAATGTCATAGAGGTGATAAACAAATTTGCCTTTGTTGCTTCTGAATATCCACTAATTCTTTGCTTGGGGAACCACTGCTCCCTAACACAGCAGAAGGTAATGGCTCAACAGATGAAAAAGGTCTTTGGCAATAAACTCTACACCGAAGCACCTTTGCCATCAGAATCCTACCTCCCATCACCAGAAAAATTAAAAAGAATGATCATAGTGAAAGGAAAGAAATTGCCTCCTGATTCAGATGTTTTAGAAGGAGAGGTCACAGATGAAGATGAAGAAGCTGAAATGTCTCGAAGGATGTCAGTGGAGTACAATGGCGAGCAGAAACAAATCTGGCTGTGCAGGGAGCTCTCTGATTTGGTATCTATTTGTAAATCTGTTCAGTACAGGGATTTTGAGCTGTCTATCAAAAGCCAAAACTATTGGGAAATGTGTTCCTTTAGTGAAACAGAGGCCAGCCGAATTGCAAATGAATACCCCGAGGATTTTGTAAATTATAACAAGAAGTTCTTATCAAGAATCTATCCAAGTGCCATGAGGATAGATTCCAGTAACTTGAATCCACAGGACTTTTGGAACTGTGGCTGTCAGATTGTGGCAATGAATTTTCAGACTCCAGGTCCAATGATGGACCTTTACACAGGCTGGTTTCTTCAAAATGGAGGATGTGGTTACGTTCTAAGGCCATCTATTATGCGGGATGAAGTTTCTTACTTCAGTGCAAATACAAAGGGCATTGTACCAGGGGTGTCTCCTCTAGCTCTTCATATCAAGATCATCAGTGGTCAGAATTTTCCAAAGCCCAAGGGAGCTTGTGCCAAAGGGGACGTCATAGATCCCTATGTGTGTATAGAGATACACGGAATACCAGCGGACTGTTCGGAACAAAGAACTAAAACTGTACAACAAAACAGTGATAATCCGATTTTTGATGAAACTTTTGAGTTTCAAGTGAATCTACCTGAGCTGGCCATGATCCGTTTTGTTGTTCTGGATGATGACTACATTGGGGATGAGTTTATAGGGCAATATACGATACCGTTTGAGTGTTTGCAGCCTGGGTATCGGCATGTTCCCCTGCGCTCTTTTGTGGGTGACATCATGGAGCACGTAACCCTGTTTGTCCACATAGCAATAACCAATCGCAGTGGAGGAGGAAAGGCACAGAAGCGCAGCCTTTCAGTGAGAATGGGGAAGAAAGTTCGAGAATACACCATGCTCAGAAATATTGGTCTTAAAACCATAGATGACATCTTTAAAATAGCAGTTCATCCCTTACGAGAAGCCATAGATATGAGAGAAAATATGCAGGTAGGAAAAATCCCATACTCTCCTCCCCCCACCCCGACTTCGTTTGACCACTTTTACCAGGGAACATTGTGTTCTAGTAATAACCTGTTTCCTCAAAAAATTATCAGAAAGGTGGTGTCAACCCATGTACCACTGAACTAAGTCCAGTTTTGCCTGTGACAAAGCAGATGTATTTTATGTTTCTAATTGTGAATGCTGTTAAATTGGGCCTGAACTAAGCCAGTTGATGGATTATCAATGTACCGAAATGGTATATATCAATTAAATATCCCTATTACATAACTGATATATAGGAATGTGTATATGAAACAATGTGAAAATAATAGAACATAAAATATTATATGTGTGCATAATATAGAAAATGTGTACACACACATGCATAATAATTATAAGTATATATGAAATATTTGCAGATATGAACATGGAAGGGAATTTGAAGTCGTATGGAACAACTATAATGCCTAGTAGATATTTTTAGTTGTTTAAATGTACAACAACAATAGTAAATTACTCCCTACAAGAGCAAAGAAAGTTAAACAAACAAAATGCAGCACTTGGATTTGTTGATAACTCTTTAGTTTTCTCAGAAATGTGAAAGAATATAGATTGAAAAAACATAGGTTCTGGATTAAACTCCATCCTTGTGTGATCTCGAGCAAATTATATCAGGTCTCTGATCATCAGTTTCTTTCACATAAGGTAAGAAAAATGGTAATATTTACATCACAGGATTATTACGAGAATTAAAGTATATGTAAATTGCTTAGTGTTGGCATGTAGAAATTCAATGTTAGTTTCCTTCTGTTCATAAATACTTGCAGTCAGAGATGCCTGCAAACTTCTTTCTGCAATACTACTTAATATACTTATTCTAGGTTTGTATTACGAGAAGCAATCAAACAATAAGTACTAAGTTCCTACAATGTGCAGGGTGTTGGTTGGCAGAAGCAGTAGCGGTCTATGTATGAGAGCAAAACAGGAGAGGAATATTTTTCAGTGTACTTTATTTGCTCCTTTAGCTAACATTTTTATAGTAACCGTCACAAAAAAATCCCGACTTTCAGGATAGAGAACAAGCTTGAACAGGTTCAGTAATTTCTAAATATTGCAGTTAATAAATAACAAGTTGGGCTTTAAATCCAGAATTGCCTACTACCAAACAAAACCCATGGTCATTCATGATTTATAGTCATGTGATGCAGAATCCTAAAAATCCTTCACTTGCTGAAAACTTTATTTTTATATTTTTATATTCTAGGATAGGCTTAAAACAATTTTAAATAGCCCAAGTGGTGGAAAATAGGTACATAAATCACATATAAATACTTTGATTGAAAGCATTTAATTTGATGTGGGTTGCCTTAGCTACTATTTAAAAATAAGCTCCAAATAGTAGCATCTTTTTACCTGATGTTTTCTGATATGATTCTATAGCTAATATAAATCCCTGTATTAAGTTAGTTATAAGTCAATTTTATAGCTAACTTTATATATTAGAAGTAGATTTTATGTATGTCTATATTATTCTTGAAATATATTCTTTGCATATATTATGTATTTAAAAACATATTGAAGAGAGTTGGCTATGAATAAAATTTTTTCAGGTAGTATGATAATTTATATCATCTCAACGTACAGTTTTTGGGTTAAGGATTATTTGGAGTCTAATCAGTAGAAAAACGAATACTACCATTGTCACTAAATTCATGAGGCACATATTAGGTTCGATACTGTTCACTGTTAATAAAACATAAAGTAATTGAAATTCCTATTCCAAATGATTTTTTTTAAAGCCTGAATATGGGCAAATGTAGCTCTCCATGAAATGTGTTTTAGTATGTGTCTGTCAGGTGCATTTCTGATGGGATGACAAAGGAATACCATTGATGGTTCATCAACTGGGGGTTGGTGAGTAATAGCAGCCCGCTACCTTGAGGGGAAAAGCTCAAAGGAGATGCACTCCATTGTACAACCACTGCCATGTTTTTATGATCATCATGATACAAATCAAATAAGATATTCATGACCAGCCAATGCTAATTTGTGTGCTCTGTATTCAGTATCCCAGTGCTCTGCTTTGAAAAGCATTGTGTAGCCTTGGATCATAATCTACTTTGCTTTGTGGCGTATTTGTGGCAGTTGCTAAAAATTGAGAAAGATGACTTATAATAGTGAATTAGCTCTGTGTGTTATCTCTGTGCATATCACAACATTTTTGGTTGGTTGTAATCCAGTTTGCTTCAAATTACATATGTATTTAATGAATATGCTTTTGTGTACGCCTAGAAGTGCTGGGGTTATGTGTCATGCAGACAGGAGTGTAATTCAACGTTTTCTTCCCCACAGAATGCCATAGTCGCGGTTAAGGAACTGTGTGGACTTCCTCCGATTGCCAGTCTGAAGCAGTGCCTATTAACCCTGTCCTCTCGGCTCATCACCAGTGACAACACCCCCTCAGTCTCTCTTGTGATGAAAGACAACTTTCCATATCTGGAGCCTCTGGGGGCAATTCCAGATGTGCAGAAAAAGATGCTGGCTGCTTATGAGCTGGTAGGAAATTGTGACTCCCTATTCCTTTTCTGTGTTTGTGTGAAATCATATGGCCAGGCTCTTTTGTGGAACTCTAATGAATAACAAAGAGTGGTTGCTTTTGAAACCTGAATTGGGGGTGGCAGACAGAGCCAGCCCATTCAGTTTCCCTTAAGCCCCAGTGGAGATCTCTGAGGCAATGCTTTGAGCCCAGAGCTCCACAGATCATAAATAGAAGAAAATCTCTGCTTTAGCAAAGAATGAATTATTGATTAAGTCTTCATCATCTAAATGGCTTTAGCTTACAATATAATCATTTAATTGCACACACATAGTAAGTAAACTTAAGCTTCAGTGCTGCCTTATGATGTTTGAGACAAAATATTTTTCATGAATTTATACTTCTAAGCTAATACCATTATCTAATTTTTCTGAATATATAATGGATTGATGTAGCCATTAAATTTAAGAATAAGTATATTCTTGCATTTCCTTGTTCCATAAAAAAAGTAAAGAGCTAATGATAAACTGGGAAAATTTGTGATGTGTATGCTAGATAAAGTGTAAATATCCTTAAAATAGAAAGAGTACCTAAAAACCTATAAGAAAAAACATATGGAGAACAAAATCCTTACATTAGTCAGGATTAAGTTCAGCTTCATGACACTAAAAATGCAAACTAATCATGGCTTAAAAATACTGTTTTATTCTCTCACATAAAAATATGGAGACCAGCCATCCAGATTGGCACTCCTGCAAAGTTTTTAGGAACCTAGGCTCCCTCTAACTTTTTACTCCACCAGCCTTAGACCATCCTCATGGTCCAAGATAGCTGCTGAAGCTCCAACCGTAATATCTGCATTCCAACCAACAGGAATGATGAAGAGGAAAAAGAGGGCATATCCTCTGCCTTTAAAGACATTTCTCTGAAATAGCATAGATCACTTTTGCTTATATTTCATCAGTCTGGAGTTGACACATGGACATGCTTACATGCAGAGGATGGGAAATGTCATTTCTAAATTCTCAACTGAAAGACATCTGTTCTGTTACTAAGAAATAAAGGGAGAATGGATATTTGGGGATAACAAATAATCTTTATTTCAGAGATGAACAGGCAATTCATGTATCTCTTCCCCCTAAAAAAAAAATGGAAATGTTAAAACACATTTAACCTTAAAATAAGTTTTTAATTAAAGATATTAAAGGAATGTAGTGAGATGCTTACCCTCTCCATTAAATTGGCATTATTATTATTATTATTATTACTATTATTATCATTTTTTTTACAAATAGTACCTCTGATAAAGAATTTAAGGAAATGGGTAGATACTCCCCCATCCATCTACCTCTAGTGGGAAAATAAATTGATATAATTTGGGGGGAGGAAAATTTGGCAGTATAATTTAAAATGTTTGTCACATTTGATTTATGCATTTCTTTCCAGGGATTTATTCTAAGCCAATAGATAGGTACATAGACATTTATATTTAATAATGTCAATATAGGGGGATTAGTTAAATAAAATATAGTAAAGCATATTATGGACTTCTTTGAAACCATTAAAATCGTATTTTAAAAGAATATATAAAGTTGTAGAGAACTTCTCATACTGTTTTTTGAAAAAATCTGGTTCCAAAAACAAAATCTGTAGGATTTAAACTGTATTTATATGTATGCACACCTAAAATTCTAGCAGGATATTAATAGCAATTATTTTTAAATAAGGGGAGTGTATTTTATTTTCCTAAACATGCTTTCCTGTATTATTTCTGTGTTTCCCAAACTCTTTACAATGAACCCAACTAATTTTCATAGTCGAATAAAAATAAGTGTTAAAGAAGAAAAGGATAATATTTTATCATTAAAAAAAAATCCAGAAAAAAGACATTTGGGATAAAGATCCTACAATTGAAAAAGAAAAAGAAAACCCAGAGTGTATTCTGCTTATGAATGATTGTACTTCTTATAAACTGTACTTCATGGTTGCTAGGGGAGAAGTTAGCTTATTACCTATATCTCATTTTTCATGAAATCAATTTTTCATCATAAAAGTAGGGACTGAAAGCTATTCAGTGAATAGGTATAATTGCCATCTAAGAGGTGAAATTAGGGTACTAGTTGCCATAGAGACAGACAGTAGAAATCACTTATTCTTCCAATTCCCTTTTAAGCAAAGAAAGAAAAATTATTCACTGAGAGGGAAGACTGGTCCCCTGGAGCGAGGCCTGTAAGAAGCAGAAAAGCACCTGGACTGTGGTTGGCTAATTTCCATTTCCCATCCGCAAGTGTCCAATAGTGCTTTGTCTTTCAGTTGTATCTGTTGGAGCCAAATCTGAACATCAGCCTTTTCTCATTTGTATTTTTAAAATGCAATTTATAATTTCAGGTATAGCATTGTTTTCCAAAGCTTAAAGTAAAAAGCTATAGTGCAAAACAGAAGTATTTGTAATGAGGTTGTCATTTATAGTTCCCTATGGAAATGATTTTTCATTTTGGTATGGAATTGAGTGTAAATATCCTTGCGCCAAATGGTAACCCCAGCAGGCTGTGGATGTGATCGAAAACACTATTAATATCTCTGTTGGTTATTTCTGTCAGGGGGTGGGGTGGGTAGGGACAGATACATGTTCTGATGGTTTTGGCCTTGAACATAAAAATGCCATTTTTACTTTCTAGGATTTGCATTGTATTGATTGGCATCTTTAATACTCTTGGTGTATTAGTGTTAGTACTTATTTTAAAGACATCAGCTAAGATACTCTATAGATCCAGAGTGATCATTTAAAAACATAAATCAAATCATGTCACTTTCCTCCTTAAAATTCTCCAGTGGCTTCCCATTAAAATAGAATTGAAACTCCTTCCTGTGGCCTCCGGGACCATCTATGATAACGCCTTGCCTCCTGTCTCACCCGCCTCTCCCAGTCTCACCCGCCTGCTCTCCCTTCAGTTCACTCCCCTGAGTCAGATGAGCTTGCTTTCCTCAGTCAGACCAAGCCACTTCCCATCTCTGGGCCATTTTATCTGCAGTTCACTCTGCCCAGAATGTTCTTCTCTTGCATAGATAGTTGCTTTTTATCTATTAATTCTTAGCTCGAGTGTCATATCCTCAGAGAAGCCTTTCCTAACCAGTCTCCACCTGTCATTCTGTCACATAACCCTGCTTGGTTTCCATCATTATACTTAGTGGTTTGAAAAATATTTTGCTTGACTTTTTGTTTGATTTCTGCCTCCCTTTCCCCCTGAATCTGAGTGTATGCTTCCAGGAGGGCAGAGACCCTGTATGTCTTGCTCACTACTGTTATCTCTAGAACCTAAAACAGTGCTGGCAAGTAGTATGTTATCAATTAATATTAGTTGAATAAAAAGTAAATAAAAGCATCTATTGTTGGTGAAAATAGTGTAATTCCCATGCTATAATTGAATGTGTTTTATGGTAAATCTTAAAATCTCCTCTGTTTTACCTCTATGACATCACCCTAGCTAAATTGTTCCCTGTCTTATCCATACAGTTAAGAGCCTGTAGACCAAGGCAAAACTGTGGAGACAGTGAAAAGGCAGTAGTTGCAAGGTTCTGGGAGAGGTAGGGTGAGAGAGGAAGGGATAAACAAATGGAGCACGGGGACTTTTTAGGGCGGTGAAACTATTCATATGATATTGTACTAAGGGATACATGCCATTATGCATTTGTAAAAACCCACAGAATATGCAACACAAAGAGTGAACCCTAATGAACTCTACAGACTTTACGTTATAATAATATATCAATATTTGCTCATGAATTGTAGTAAATGCACCACACTAATGCAAGATGATAGCAGTAGGGAAAACTGGGGGTGGGATGGGGTGAGAGGGTATAATGTAAACTCTGTTCTTTCTGCTCAGCTTTTATGTAAACCCAAAACTTCTCATAAAAATAAAGCCTAAAAAAAACCATTCTACAGATTATTAATAAAAACTTATTTGGATGACTAAGGCAGAATACAAATTCAGGGTTGATTGCCTGGGAGTGGTGGTGCGAGGGAGCAGGTATTTCAAAATGAACAGCTTGTGTGTTGAACTTAGATTCAAGTTGCTGAAATGTTTGAATTTCTCAAAAGTGGTAATGAACTGTATAGATGCTATCCAAGAGAAAAAGTTGTAACCACTAAAAAAAAAATACAGACTATATTTAGAATAAGAAATCACCTGAAATCATTTCTGAGCAGATGTAAATGTGTAGATGATTTTAGTATCAAAAGAAATGAATCAGGAAACCAAGTAATCTACATTTATGGAAAGACAACTTAAGTGCATCAAACTATACTACTTATTAAGAGGGATTAAATGAAAATATTCTAGAAAACATTGACAGATTTTTTTTCCTAAATTTAGCTTTTCCCTAAGGGCCTGTGTTGGCCCTATTCCTTACCAAACTTCTGGCTAATTTAAGATTTAGAAATATTTCCTCTTGAGGGTTTTAAAAATAACTCAGTGTTAAAAGTCATTTAAATATTAGTATTGCAATTATAATTCTATTGTACCATCTGTGTTGATATCAAGTAATTAAAAACCAAATACAGCAATACCTTGGTTTGCAAGCATAATTTGTTCCAGAAACAAACTACTTGTATTGCAAGACATCGCTCATTTACCAAGTTAAAATGTATTAGAAATGTTTGCTCATCTTGCAAAACACTTGCAAACCACATTACTCGCAATCCAAGGATTTACTGTCTATCTGTTGTTGAGTAGGCTTATTTATATGGCCTAATTCCAGAACATACCTCCCCACCCCCATTCCATATTGTATTTAAAACGTATCTCCTATCTGCTCACTGGTATTTGAAATTTCAAAATTACATCAGTTCCTTTGGGTTAAGACTTTTTTTTCTCTTTTAAAATGCAAAAATGTCTTTATGAGTGTTATTACACATTGGATTATCAGTAATCTGTACTTTTGAATAATTTGACAGATTCTACCCTCCAAGCAGGTTTGTACCTGGGAAAAGGAAGTCATCCTAATAACAAAAGGTTCT